CTAATTACTGGTTTTGATGGGTAATAGAAATGATAAGTTATAGCATTATTTGTGATGCTTTTAAGTGATATTATTCGATATATGAGCATTATTTTATGATTTTCATTTATGAGCCGTAAATTGTTTAGCATATAAAAACTTTTGAATCATTTTTCATTTACCTGACAACGAGTACTCTTTAAGGAGTTTCATGAGGGACTAGGGTCAGGCGTGAGAAAACGATTCTTACCGTAATATTTTTAATTATTGAAAAAATAATTTCAGTAATTATTTAAGAAATTTTCAACTACCGTAATATTCACGTTTCTAATGTGGTACCTCGATTTTCACTTAAACAACAGGTAAGTAGGTGCGAAGTGCTAGAACTTAAGCATTTCCATAGTTCATACGATTGAAGTAATTTAGAATGAGAGAATTTGTTGTGAATGTGATGAATGAAAAGAGATTAAATAAGCAGAGAATGCGAGTGATTGTATAGATAATCCCCGATTTCGTCTGTCATTTGCTCTGTTAGAACTGATAAGTTGAAAGTATTTAAGTTATTTAGCTAGTTTTTCAGTGTTAATGAATATCAGTGTGTGATAAGTGTGCTCGATAAAATTCAATAAATATGTGACAGTCATAATCATTCTAAAGAAGAATGTAATTCGCTTTACGCCCATCAATCAAGTCAGTGATTCTCAATCTTTTTCTGCTCGCATCCTCTAAAAAAAGTTTTAAAATAATCTCGTATCCTTCACACACGAATAGCTAATTTAAGAATGAAAGTAAATGTGATTGAAAGAATTGTTTATAATTAATCTTTTATAACATAAAAATGATCATTTGAAAAAGAAGAAATCGTGCAAACTCATATGAAGTTTGCATCCATGCATGAAAGTTTTCCAAAAATTTGAGTATTAAAGTCCACCTTCGTCTACTTTACACATGTACGGGCACTGAACTCCGCCCTCAACCGTTTTAATTTATAAAAAATAATTGTTACCTGGCACCAGCTGGAATACAATTTCGCTCCTCCAAGGAGTGCGAAATAGTAGTATTCCAGGGCTGGAACACTGGATGAGAAACTGTGGGTTAAAGAGTTAAATTAATTTTTTGGAATGCATTATGGGGATGAAAAACTGGTATCGAATGATTTTTGAGTGTCTTATCAGAATCGTTCGATATTTTACAATCGTCGAAATGGCGGTGGAGTGACTTTTGAAGCGAATTCACCTGATATGCACATGAAGAGTGTGGTGAATGATCGCTTATTTCGGAATATATATTCATTCCTTGTGACAGAAAGACGACAACCGAAATTGTACTTAGGAGCATATTCGTTGAATGGTTTATTTATGTGTGATGTTTGTTAGCATCTGATGATTAGTACACGGATTCGTTCAGTTGTTTGCTATTTATATAATGGCGATTCTGCTGCATTCTCTTCGAAATGCTGCTGCAGGTGTGCTCGTCTCGAGAACATACAGTAAGAAATGCTGCTTATGATTCAATATCCGTGAATGTGTATTCATTGAATAGTTGCGTACTTCATCGGCCTTCACCAAATTCTTTAGCTACTCCCAACGGTAATGTGATTTGATCAAGGCGATGCATATTGATCTACAACTGGGATTTGTGGTAGAATGGCGATTAGAAGGCGATTAAGTTTTACTTTACATTTTGTTAGCGATTCCACGAGATTTNTTGTGGTAGAATGGCGATTAGAAGGCGATTAAGTTTTACTTTACATTTTGTTAGCGATTCCACGATTCCACGAGATTTACATTTCATCACTCCAGAGAATTTTTTCGTTGCATTTCAGGCCATGGATCTCTTAATAGGACAGGAATTTAATTTTAATTTGGCTCAACGATGGGCTGGTGAAATGGAATGGAAAGTGGCGCAGTTGGCTGGCGTTTATGTGGTGGCGATTTTCAGTATTCAGTATGTGATGCGCGAAAGGAAAGCGTTCGACTTGCAGAAGCCACTCTACATTTGGAATGCAATGCTAGCGTTATTCAGTATTATGGGATTTGTGCGATTGACTCCGGCATTTTATGGACAACTCACGACACGGGGTTTTGTTAGTAAGTGTTGCTTTGTTGGGCATTTGAGTGGGTCAGATTTTAGTAGATTGCTGATTTAAGGACTTATTGAAATGAAAATCTTTGAAATTATTGGATTTTCGATGTCATATGACCTGGATTGGTCAGCTTATCAAATGTTTGTGATGCTGCTGGTAACGATGTTTGTGTTTTCGTTCGCATTGTTTTAACCTTGATTGACGCTACTCCGATGGCTAGGCTCACGCCAACCGAACATAGCCACTCACCAAACGAGTAATTATTTAGTT